AACACCCAATACTCCTCACAAGCTCGGGAGTGTAAGAGTATGTGAATAAGATTTACACTAAATTCATTCAACGGAAATCAATTTAGTGTTTGTTACTTAGTCCAATTCACAAAACAATTACGGATTTTGCAATTAGATAACTTGAATGACCTAACCCTAATTCAAATGGCCAATAAGAATCACAATTAGAATCAAACATTCAACTGAAACAAAATCAAATTCACTAGGTAGGAATTGGAATCAAACATCAAATCACATGATTGAAATCACAACTAAAATTTAAGACATAAAGTTAGAGAATCTAGGGTTCTAGCCACTCATGACTAGAACAAGATCACAAATCTAGAAAATAAAATTAAAGTTCTTACAAAATGAAATCAAATGTTCCCAAGTGTTTTCAAGCAACAATTGCCTTCCAAATGCTCCCCAAAATCGCCTCTAGAACTCACAAAATCCACCCCCCCCCTTTTTCTGGAACCGGTTACCCTATTTTAGAAAGGAGAAAACTGAATTAAACTGGCGACCACGTTTACACGGCCCGTGTAAACTATAACTGACCATTTACACGGCCGTGTAAATACAAAAAGTAGAATGCTCAAATCAGCCAGGTCTTCGAAGTACATTGCCAAAGAGTATGCGTTTACACGGCCCATGTAAACTCAAGGTTTACATTTACACGGCCGTGTAAACTCCTGTAAAGCCAAAATCTTCATTTTCTTCATAACTTCCTCCTCGATGCTCCAATAGTCCCGAAACTTCGTCCATATCCCTTATTCATCACCTCAACTAAGATCCTACCTTCAAAAGTCCCTGAAATATCACAAAAGTGTGTGAATGAAATTGCATCATGAAAAATCCCGAAAAGTATGCAAAATGCATGAGTTTAAACCTAAATGCAATGTACTTTTATGGATTAAAACTACAAAATGAATGCATGAAATGCATCTAACACCAATCTTGCACCAAGAAACACACGCAAAGAGCTTTTTCCTTTAGAAGACTTCTAAAACACAAACTGCTGCAAAAGTCCAACTGCGACGCGTGTTCTGCGCCGCAGCGAAAAATGATCGGAAGAGTTTAAAAAAAACAACAACAACCTCTAAGTATTATGTTAGGTATAAGTTGACAACATTTATAAAGAGTAATATTATATATGAGTTAGTTGTATTCATAAAAAGATGTATTAGGTGGACATTTCATGGGAATGTGAGCCTTTTAACAATTTTATCCATCTTAAAATTTATTAAATAGATGATGACTGTATTTATGTAACCATAATTTAAAAAATAACTCTTATTTCAAAAAGAACAGTTGTATTACCCAACGATATTGGTTTTGCGTCACCTGAGGCACATTGAGAAAATTTTGAGTTGGCTCAAAAGACTTATATGTTGGAGAGAGCACATAACAAAAATTATGGTGACTTAATTGCAATTCATAGGAATTTTCTCTTTACATGTAGTACCACTCAGGGGCGGAACACGAAGACTTTAAGTGGAGGGGCCGAAACCAAAATATTAAAACAAAAGCATAGAGATATTAGCATCCAAAACAATCGTTGGTGTTGGTGACTCTTCCTATACGTCATAAGAATTTGTATGCTTTCTTTTAAGAAAATCATCAATAATCGATTGTTTCTTATTTTAATATACAATGCATAACATAATTTACTAATAGTTAACAAATAACAAAGTATGATTATATTTTGATACAACTAATTAATTATCTTTAGTGGAATTTTCTTTATAAAATTTATAATTATACGTTAGCCTCAGTTAACAGATAACATAATCAAGTCACGATCAATAAATATAAAAAAATAGCAATTAAAATACAATCAATAAATATATAAAGATCAAAAAGTAGCTTAATTTTCCTAGAGCTCCATACCTAAATATGTTATTTAAATATATAAATTTTGGAACTAGCACACATTAAAATAACATTAAAAGTATGGCAGCCTTTTAAACTTTCAAAAATTTATTTTCAACCTACTTTAGTGAGAGAAAGGAGAGTACGATAGAGAGAGGAAGCCAGATTAGAAGGGGGTGCTTACAAGTCCAAATCCGGTGATCAGCGTAGTAGAGGATGGAGAGCACCGGCGACGGAATGTCGGAGGTTTCTCCTCGGACTTGCAGTCGTTCAACGTCATAGAGGAGAGACAGTGGTCAGAAAAGACGGACATGATAAGGAGTGGTAGACACTACAGCGGCGGAAGCAACGATATATATTGGTGAGAAGGTGGACAGAGATTTACACTTCGACGGTGGCTGTGTTTTCCGGTAAGCAACTATTACTTCCAGGAGAGTGATGATTTAGTCTAGGGTTTTGAATCTTCTTAAGGATTAAGTTAAGAAATTGGATATTAGAATAATTTTCTAGTAATTTATAGAATTTTTATTTCCTAATTTTGTTATAACCGGTTTTAATGTTTCAATATTTCGTGGAATCTGTTAGCTACTAATTTGATTTCCTAATTTGTCGTTTAATATGAAATATCAAATTCGTATATTATTAATGGGGGCCAAAACCTTTTTCAGCAAATAAAATCAATATATTGTATATAGTATAAGTACCTAGAAGGAAAAAAATCAGGGGTGCCATGGCCCCCTGCCCTGTAGTAGCTGCGCCTCTGGTACCACTTATCTTCAACAACAATTAAATAATCTAACATTTAACGGTGTAATGCCTATGCACTTTCTTTATTTTTATTGTTTCCCTTCTTGTATCAAATACAATCTTTTTTTATTGTAACAACTGTATGAATATATATGAAAGTATAAAAATACTTTTTAACGTTAACTCACTCTTAAACTGGTTGCCTTTAATCAAATTATATGACCTAATCACATAAAGAAACAAAGAAAAAATGGGTCTGGCTGTTAGGCCCAAGATCAGCCCAATAAAAAGCCTGATGGCCTTTACAGGCTGATTTTCAGGGGTCCTGTCATCCGGACCGGTTTGGGCCTTACATGGCTGGACCAGATCATTTTGGGCTCCGAGCCAGGGAGGATGGGCTTTTGTGCTTCGAATTTACAAATTACAATGCTAGAGGCACAGCGAATAAAAGCGGATCTTCGATTCAAGGATACGACGTCGTTGGCCAGTAAGCGTTGTATACTACTTTACGAGGTCGTCTGCTTTCCTTTATCAAACTGGATTGGTGGATTATCGGGGATTGCTTACACCTGCTAAGCATAATCTTACCTCCTCACATTTGCGAATCAGTTGGTGAGTGATAGTGTGTATGAAAATGGGGTTTATGAGAAACAGATACTGGGTACTGAGACACGGGAAAAGCATTCCTAATGAAAAAGGTTTGATCGTGTCATCAATGGTTAGTTTCTCTCAATTTCCCCTTGCCTAATTGGTTTTACGTTCTCTACAAATTGCTTTCATAAGTTTCATGTGATGATTTTTTTTAATCTGTATTAGATTTGATTCTGAAATCGAACCCAGACATTTGCATCACTTTGTTCTACATAATTTAAACGGGCAGCTTTCAGATTTCATAGTCTTTTCTGATGTTTTTGCTTCTTAAACATTTATTTCCTGTAAAACCTAAAATTCTTATGATCTTGGAGTTAAAGATTACTTCATCTGATTAGTAAAGGTAAATTTTAGACGAATTTTGGTAATTAAACGTGAGACACATTCCGAATTGCTTACAATATCAAATTATTGAAGAATTAATGTTTCAGATTCTGTATCATAGCTCAGATGGGAAAGTGTAGAAATTTGATTCCAATCCATATTCCATTTCAATTTTTGTTTTTTTCTATATATAATAGATTTGAAATAGAAATTATGGATGGAAGATGAATAAAATGTGGATCACATATGATGTTTGTGGGAAACATTTTGAAATTTGATTTGGTGTATAATAATAGTAATAATAATTCCATCGTCATGTTAACAGGAAAATGGAAAGCTTGAGGAATACAAGTTAGCTTCAGAAGGAATCAATCAAGCACAATTGGCTGGAGAATTATTCCTAAAGGTTTAACAGTTCCCTTTCATGACAACTTTATTGGTATTCTGGTCCTTACATTTTGCATTGTTGGAGGGCATTTAAGACATTTGACAACTAGCCTCACATTAGCATGAATCTATCTATGTGTCTAGTAGTTCAAGGGTATACATGAAGGTATTTTAATAGCTCTAGTATTTAAATCTTACTTTCACGTAAATATGATATAAAATGTATGCAGGAACTCAAGGAAAATGACATTCCATTAGAAAATGTACGAATTTGTTATTCTCCATTTTCAAGAACAACTCACACAGCCAAAGTGGTTGCTTCGGTTCTAAATCTTTCCTTAGAAGGACCTCAAGCCAAGGTAATGCGATGCACAATCAATCATTATTTTCAATTAATTACTATCTAAATGTGTGTAATTGACTATTTTACCCTTGAAAATATTATTGTGTTGAACTTTTATGAAACTAAGTACAGATTTTTGAAGATCTTCGAGAGCGTTACTTTGGTCCTTCATTTGAACTTCAATCTCATGAGAAAGTAAGTTTTAAACATGTTTCTATCTTCATGAGTTTTAATAAATAATAATAATAATAATAGTATTTTCTTTTTTTATTATTTTATATATATAAACAGTATACAGAAATATGGGATCTTGATGAAAAAGATCCATTAATGAAACCAGAAGAAGGTGGGGAAAGTGTTGCTGATGTTGCTTCTAGACTCACAAATGTTTTGCTACAGATCGAGTCTCAATTTCAAGGGTAAATAGTAGCAATGTACTTTCAATTATTAATGACTCGTTTTTTATGCAAAAAGACGTAAATGCCCTTGATGTTGATGTTGCAGATGTGCAATCTTGATAGTCAGCCATGGTGATCCGTTGCAAATCTTGCAGACAATAGTCAATGCGGTTCGTGAACAAGTGGGACCCGATGGTGGTGACTTGGCAGCACAGCTGGCGGCTGTTAAGGTTCGATCGGTTCTATCACAACACCGAAAGCACGCTTTGCTGACTGGACAACTAAGGGCAGTTGTGTAAATTTTCACTTGGTGGTGACCAAGTTGCTGAAAAACCTTAGAAAATCATTTTATTTGTTACTCATGAATCATGATTTGGAGCTTTCTTTAATCTTCTATTGGTTATTTTTCTCTTATAATATTGAATTATTCATTTAAATGTTTTTTTATGTTATTTTAAATTTTTCGGGCGAGCTTATCAACTATCAGCTAGCTTTTCTCCTATTCTGTCAAACATAGCCCAAGTCATGATGAAACATTTCAAAAAGTTTATGTTACGATTCTTAAACTCATTTAAGAAACGTACGTCAGTTTTTAAGTATTTTTCTAGTAGCAATTAAAAATGAAGCCACATGTTACAAAAATCCAAATCCAAATCCAAAAAGCATCCACATGAAAACAAAATAGGCAAGTACAACTTAATTACAGTCTGAAAAAAAGCTTGTAGATGTACAACTTAAGGGGAGTGGTAATACTCATGACACCTTGCCAAGTAAGCTTTTTGATTGCCAACTCATTTTGGTCCATTTAACATCTAATTTTAGCATTTGGTAGGGAGTGGTAACACTCATAGCACTCCATTTTTTTTATTTTCTTTTTCGTTTTCTAATTTAATTTAATTAAAAATTCCATCCATATCCTTCTAAATTTTAAATATTAGGTCAATATCCTTATAAATTTTAGAATTATGTATATGTCATTCTAAAAATATATTAGTTACATATATATCCAAATTCATTTTTTAATTAAAATTAACCTAATATAATATTAAAAAACTTATCAAAATTCAAAATTATATAAGATGTTACTAAAATACCCTTCCCAAATGAAACTTTAAATTTATATTTGAATTAGTTATGTTGACATATGACCAAAAAATCATATATGATGTTTCTAAGGCATCCAGGTTTATATGATTAACATCATATAGCAACGTCTAATTA